TCTGGCAAAACTGCCGCCCGCGGCGGCTGTGGGAAATGGCCCCGTAAACGTTTAATAAAATATGATTTCAATTGATTCGAAGCTCACATTTAAACCGAATCGTGCTCCAGATATGTACGTCCCGCCGGCAATCAATAAAGTAAAAACAAAATGCCCCAAAGAGAGACTCGTCCGCACCCTCACCCTCATCCACAGCCTCAGCAGCATCAACGTCGACATCCACATCCTTCGGCTTGTCTGTCCCCGGAGGCATTCGTTCGCCTTGACTTGGCCCTCGGTTATCCGCTTAGATCACTCAACTAAAAAACTCAATTTGCATATTAATATTATTTGGGTTTTTTCCTGTTGTTTGGCCTTTGCGCCGCCTTTCCTCCGGCTTTCATCCTTTTATCAAACAAAAAGAACAACAACGGCGGCCGACGGGAGAATCAACAGTAGTGAATTGAATTTGCTCTGCTCCGACGCCCTTTCGGTCGTCCTTTGATATGGCCAGGACACGGGACCCACAGCCCGGAACCCGGAATCCGGGAACCAGGATATGCCCAAGTTGCCACACATGAGCAGCTGCTCCCAGGTGCATACTTTGCGGAGCTGCTCGAAAGGACTCGGTGCTCGGTGCCTTGCCCCAGCCCATCCCTCCGGTGCGTCTTTGTCCTTGCTCACCTGGCGGACAAAGGCAGAGCTGTCAGTCAGTCAGTGTGCCAGGGCAATTTCATTTTTATTGGAATTATGTCAGTGTTATTTTAGCATAATCGTAAAAATGATTGTTTGCGGCGGTCCGCTGGGAGGGAAATGCAATGAAGCGAGTCTATCAGCAGAATGATTTGATTTTTAGGTGGAGCAAATCTGCTCGGATAATTACCCGTGTTTATCTACGCACTTCAGCATTGGCAACCAATTTCAAATTAAGTGGGGGATTCAGTGCAAAGGCCTTAGCATAATCGGAAATCAGATTGATGGCGACATTTGATTTTAAATTGGTTTCTAAACCAAACTGAAAAAAGCTATAATAATTAGTCGGACATGAAAGCATGTGCCAATGCAAGGACCTAGCTTTTCCTGTGCTTTGACAAACATATAATTTTAAAATTATATAGTATATAAGCTGATCGCACTAATATATATAAAAAACTTCGTGATTGGGACTTACCAAGGGAATAAATCTTTAAGCACTTAATCAGTTCGAAGGTATTTTTTCAGCAAAAAGTCAGTCCTTAAGGCGAAATACTTGATTTTCTTTGGTAGAGTCAACCTTTAAGGCCTCAAGGCTTCAATAATTAAACCACAATTAACCCGAAACTTCAGCATTTGAATGGAATCCCGAATCGAATTGAATCAGCAGCCAGGGGTTGGCTCCATGCCTGGTCTGGGTTATGGTGTTGGTTGTAGTTTTGGTCTCGATTTCGGGTTTATTTTGACAAAACGCAAATGAATCTGAATAATTTACGATTGGGTCATGAATTTAATATTTCATCGGGCCGGCGGCAATTAAAATTAGAATATAAATGGGGCTCCGTCCGGGCGAACAGTGAGCAGTCATGTCGTCCCATCGCTACCGGCCCCGTCTCCCGGACGGAGAGCTGGCCCCGCTGCCCTGGCCGGTGGCGCTTTATCGCATCCTGAACCACATAGCCTGGCCCCTGGAGGAGGGCTGTGGTCGCTGGACCGTGTTCCTAGAGCGTGTGGTCATCTTCCTCGGCTTTCTGGTCTTCTGCGAGCACAACGAGGTGGACTTCCACTACCTGATAGCCAACCGGCATGACATGGAAAACCTGCTGACGGGCATGCCCACGTACCTCATTCTGGTGGAGATGCAGATACGCTGCTACCAGCTGGCCTGGCACAAGGACCGCTTCCGGGCGCTGCTGCAGCGCTTTTACGCGGAGATCTACGTAACGGAGGAGGCGGAGCCGCAACTGTTTGCCCGCATCCAGCGCCAGATGCTGGCCATGCGACTCAACTCCACCATTTACCTGCTGGCCCTCTTCAACTTTCTGGTGGTGCCCATCCAGAACGTCATCTACCACCGCCGCGAGATGCTCTACAAGCAGGTGTATCCCTTCGACAACACCCAGCTGCAATACTTCATTCCGCTGCTGGGACTCAACTTCTGGGTGGGCGTTATCATCACCAGCATGCTCTTCGGCGAGTTGAATGTCATGGGCGAGCTGATGATGCACCTAAATGCCCGCTACGTCCAGCTGGGTCAGGATCTTCGTCGCAGTGCTTGCCGCCTTTTGGAGGCAGGAGATCAGGGTAGGGACATAGCTGCAAGCTACCGACGTGCTCTGACCCACATCCTTCGGCGAAACGTGGCCCTGCGGGACTTTGCCGACAGTGTGGAGGAGGAGTTCAGCTTCCGCATCTTTGTGATGTTCTCCTTTAGCGCTGGACTGCTCTGTGCCCTGTTCTTCAAGGCCTACACGGTATTACATGGGATGTTAATCCGAATTTTAAATAATTTTTACTTCCCCAGCGTCCTTCGGGTAATGTGGCTTACATTGTGTGGTTCCTGGCCAAGTTCATGGAGCTACTGGCCCTCGGAATGCTGGGCTCTATACTTCTTAAGACGGTGGGTCCTTCTCTTACGATTTTCCTACCGTTTCCCTTAAAAACCTCAGAGAACCCTTGTCTGAACAGACGGACGAACTGGGCATGATGTACTACACTTCGGACTGGGAGCAGATTGTCCACCAGTCGGAGGACGTAGCCGAGAATGTTCGGCTGATGAAGCTGGTCACCTTGGCCATCGAACTCAACTCTAGGCCCTTTTTCATCACGGGGCTAAAGTACTTCCGAGTCAGTTTGACGGCGGTGCTAAAGGTGGCTTGCCTCTGGTAGTATTCCAACTGAGTGACCTATTGGTTTCCATTTCGCAGATAATCCAGGGCGCCTTCTCCTACTTCACCTTCCTGAATTCGATGCGATGAGCTGAGCCGGATTGCTGGTATAATTGTGTTGCCAATCATTTGGAAATTATGCGTTCTCTGTCATCATTTGTGTGTGGCCTGACCTCTGGCCATTTGTCCGCCCCCAAAAGGGCACTTCTCCCCGGGACACCTTCCGTGTGCCGGATATCCGCTGACAACAATGGAGCTTTAGAGCGCTTTCAAGGATATTAACACGTGCATGACTGTGATTTATGCACCTCTGACTGCAGACTACAACTGCAACTGCATCTGCCAGTGGAACTGGGGCATCATCAATCCACTGGCCTCCACTCCACGCCACGCCACGCCACTCCACTCGACTGCTAAGCAGCGCTTTTAAGGCGGGATAAATTTGCTGCTGCGTTGACAGCTGCAATCCAAAGACGTTTCCCCGGATGTATCCACATCCACCTCCATATCCATATCCATATCCATATCGATATCCATAGAGCCATAACTGTCAGCCATGACTGAGTGGCAGCAATTGGCAGGGGAGAGCGCTGGAGGAGATTCCCTGCATAGACACGGGGAGCGGACTTCAAGCTCATCCGCTCTGGCACTGGTACATTGCAATATATTCACTATTCTAGCACACACAATAGTGTTTCAAAAAATAGTAACAACTATATTTCTAAGTTGGAAGAGTACCAAAAATACCTAATTCTTAAATATACCTTGTTTTATTTACAAAATGTATTTATTTCCCAGAGAAAGTAGTTAATTTACTAAATATCTTCAATAAATATATAATTAATAATTACATTATTTAATAATAGAAATAGCATTATGCCAACTAACGTTTGTTTATTTTGAATGAATAAATATTATAAATATTTTTATATATATAACAAATATTTATATCAAAATAAGGAAACTTCCCTTCCCTATGGTACCAATATTTTGTACGATTTGTTGTAACTAAATTTTATTTTTTTGAGCCACATCGTATGTAGTAATCATGCATATTCCGGTGCAGTGGAATGTGTGGGTGGATACATAAATCGGGGAAAATGTCGTTACAAATATTTTATAACAGGAAATCCGTTATTTATACGCACATTGTGCCGGCAATGGAGGCTGTGGGTGGTGCTAGTGGTGGTGCTGGCTCGGCATTGAAGGAGATCAGCAGAATGCAAAGGCAGCTTCAAGCGGCACTTGGCAAATATGAATGAATGAATGCTGTTTGCCTGCCGCTCGCCCGTCCTCCAGAGCTCCGATCCTGCCACAGAACCCCTCTTCCAGACACCATCCATTGCCTGATTGAAGCGACAAAATGCGAAATCCTTATGAATTGGCTACAATTTTATTTATTATTACTCGTTTTATTTGCTGCCTTGCACTCCGAGTGCCATTCTATAATGTTCCCGTTTTTTTACAGAGAGAAAAATAAAAAGGGAGCAGCTAGATAAAAACCTTTAATAAATTGCGATATTATTTCGATTATTTCTTCATCAAGAAAGCTAACTTCAAATAACGACCTACCCTATCCTCAATGTCTTTCTGTATGTCTCAGATTCTGCTTTTATATTTTTTTCTGCGTGTATTTCAATGGGAACTTTGTCCCCTCAATATTTCCAATCTTCTCCAGCGTCTACACAACGCCATCCTGTGCAATGCTGGCGACGAACGACTTGTTTTGAGCCACACAAAATGACGTTCCCAAGGCGATTCCATTATGATGGCCTGCAAAATGCTGGCAAATTGCAAAGGCGCAATTGATATTGGCTCTTTGTATTGTGCGAACAAAGTACCAATACAGCAGCGGCACAAAAAAGGAGCCACTGAGGAACGACTTGGAGTGCATAAACTTTTCCCATAATTTGAATTGACAACGAATAATTGGTTTCTCGCTTGCAAAACAATATTAAATAATCTTATTAAATATCAACAACAAACAGGATGTTATCAAGCTTTACCTGAAATTTATGGGGTGTTTTTTAAATAATTTTCAGAAAACATAAATTTTATTTTTTCCTATTTAATTGAGTTTTCCATAAACAAATTGTTTAGCATTCAGATTTATTAATACAACTTGAAAAAGGAACTTTGGCAACTAACTAATATATTCCATTAAAGTCGTCACAGATTTTCATGCTATCCATTTAACACAAAAGGAGTTACTTTACTACAATTTCCATTTTTACATCAGTCTCTGGTTTCGAGGTAAATTGTGTCAATCTTCAGAAGATTCGTCAGTATTTGGTTTCCAAAATTTGTGGTCAAGACTCAGCTGTTCCCGATGTTCCACCGAATGTCCAAGTTGGTAGACGTCCTCGCTTGGCTCCTCTGGCCGCTGCGACGGTACCACAGCGCGGTGGCCATGGTTTCCCTCTTCTGCTTGCTGCTGTGGGGGGTTTTGGACTACGCTTACAAGATCCATGGCGTCGACCTGCTCTGGTGGCATAGCCAGATGACTTCGTTCAATATCGACTCGCTATCCGTTCTGCTATATATCGTCGGCGCCAAGATGTCCTTGATCCTGGTACTGGCCCTGGTGAGCTGCATCCGCTCGGCGGTGGTGAAGAAAGAGCCCAGGTGCAAGGAGATGCCCATTTCGTATGTGCGACGGCGCTATTGTCGCTTCCTTGTGATGCAGCTGCTGTTTGCTTTGGACGCGCTGGTCCAGGAGCCGGAGACCATGGACCTGGCGGACTACGCGCAGCGACACGCAAACTTCGTCACGGCGGTGCAATGCTTTCGCTGGCAAGCCCGTAAAATGTTTGAGCGGATCGAACAGCAAGTCCTCCGTCCGCAGCACGAAGTCCTGCACGTGGATGACCTGCTGGAGGAAGAGCTGCTTGGCCGGGGCTATGCCGATAGGCTAGCAACGCTCCGGGAGTGGGAGATCTTTCGGCTGGTCTACGGCTCCCTCGACTGAGCTTGGAGGGAGGCTGGCATACTTTCGAAAGTTTTTAATTGGCTTTTGGCAACATACTTCTTGGCTGCCGTCGGTAATTTTCACTTTGCAAACATGTTAATTATCATGCCACACACGCATGTGCGGGGAGTCCCCAAAGTGGAGTCGGCGAAGGAGTGGGCAGTATGCTAGCAGCTTGGTTGCCTCGGGGGTTAGAGGGCTTCGATGTTTAACTGAAACATGTGCATGGCTAGGATTTGTCTCAACGGTCAACAATAAAATGTATTTTATCCTTGTAACCTATTTGGTTTTATAATTATTAAATTTATTTACACGTATATTTAAAGAGTTATTAGTATTTTAACTTAAGGAAAGTTATTCATCCATAGTCGTGGTGCAGATCGAGAGCCTTGCGGTGATCGGGCAGCAGGGGATTGTAGAGTTTCATTTGAGGCTTTCTCAGGGGTGGAGCTTCAGGTGACATTGGTGGTGGTCGCATCCCAGATACTGGAGGTGGCATGGGAGATTCTGAGGCGTCCTCGCGCCGCCAGTGGCCACCTACCGGACGAAGCCTCACTGGCGGAGCCGAATGTACCGGCTTTTGCTGGTAATAATGCTTGTGAATGGTCACCGGACGCAGTCCCAGCTTCAGCTTCTCGGCCTGCTTGTTGGCCAACCACCGCTTCCGGTCGAAGGCGTCTACATTCCGCTTCACACCAAAGACAATGTTAAGGAAGGGCTTGACTAGCACACTCAGTGCCACAAAGCCCAGGAACCCAAAGACGGCCGGCGAGACGAGGGTGAACAGGAATACTCCCAGCGTAAAGGGATTGAGGACCGTGAAGAAGGCCACAAATTTGACGAACGGATATAGCACCTGGCCCACGTGACTAAGGTACTCCTTTTTCTTCTTTTTGAAGATGCTGTTGTGCCGCAGCAGGTACTTGATCTTGCTGAAGGGCTTGTGGGTGGTGGTGATCTTAGGCTTTTTTGTGGTCAACGTCGCCAAGAGAGCCGAGGGAATGGCCTGGACCTGCAATTGGTTGGTGGGGTGGTAAGGACTCCCCGAGGGATAATGGTGGTGGTAGTACGGCTGCTTGGTGGGATTTGCAAAGATCAAGTGGGCCGGTTTGAAGATGGAATGATCCTCGTGTTCCTCGTGCTCCGGCTTCGGTTGCTTCTTCCGTTTTCGCTTGCCTTTCTTCTTCTTCTTCTTGCCGCCCTTATGCTTCTTCTTCTTGCGCTTCTTCCGGCGCTTCTTTCTCTTCTTCCGGCGTCGTCGACGTGTCCTTTTCCGTCGGCGGCGAATCCGCTTGCGCCTTCGCCGAATGCGTTTGCGTCTTCTCTTCTGGCTCTGCTTAGCTCGGGACTCGGGCTTCAGCTCAGCCTTGTGCTCAGGCTCTAGTTCTCCATGGTTTGGTTTTTCACTGAGATAGCCCGCCTTCTGGTCCTTTTTAATTAAGTCCTCGACGAGTGCACTCACCAATTTAAAGGGTTTGACGGTGGTCGTGCGCCTGTTCGCCTTGATTAAATCGTCCTCCAGCTTTTGCAACACAAGAAAGGGCTTATGGGTTGTGGTTTTCGCCTCATAAATCCTCTGATCCTGGTACAAGGTCTCCAGGATATCGAAACTGGTGTTGGGTCGAGCCCCCAACCTATGGGCCTCCTGCTCGTGCTCCCGATCCAGCTGCTGCAGGATGCTAAATGGCCTAGCCGTGGTGGTGCGCTGCCACTGAAGCTCAAAGTCCTGCTGCAGCTGGTCGAAAACATGGAACTCGGACTGGCCCCAGCCACGCCCTTGTGCCGCACCCAAAGTTTCGTATATTTTCGCAAAATTATAAACAGGGCGGGCCCGGCCGCTAAACTCCAACTTTGCTAATCCATCACGCCCGTGGCTGCGTGCCCGGCCACAGTTTTGCGCCAGCAAAATCAACAAGAATGCCGCAGAGTTGCTAACACTTTTGGCACTGCGTCCCTGCCCCATTGCAATTCATTTTGGCCCCCCGGGCTCTGAGTCCTTTCCCGCCTCGCTCCTCGCTCCTTACTCGTCGCTCTTTGCTGTTTGATGTTTGATTTAATTCCAACTTCCACCGCTGGCTGGCCAACTACAACTAAGTCCGGCTCTTGGCCATTGCCACTTCATCAGCTCGGATGGACAACTTGGCAACTTGGCCACTTGTTGAGCCCGTCGACGGCGAGTGCTGTTCACTCAGCTACTTGTTCTTTTTAGCTTTTGACAAAGCTTATTTGTTATTGTTATTTTAAAAAACGCTACGAATTTCTACAATTGTGTAAAGATTAAAACAAGAACAAATTTATAATTTTGAATATAACAATCAGCTGTATTATTTTTATTATTTTGTATATGTTTACCTCTTATTTACTCTAAAGGTAGAATCTCTTTTGAAGCCACAACCGTCAACACTGGTCGCAGGAGGTCAAAAGGGCAGGAGCCGGGTCCATTTCACTTTTCGCCGGCACTTGATTTCTGACTCGGACTTGTTTTCGCCTCGCCCCAGAGTTTCTTCGCTTGTGGTTCTCGCATAAAAGTAAAATTTATTACTACTTAGTACATTATCAACGGTTCTGCTTCTGGTTTTCTCGACATTTCCAACAACCCCCCTTTTCCCGCGTTATGACAAATTCCCCGCACAGTCAACAACTTGGCGAGAGCACTTAATTATGTTTTGGGCACAAAAACCGAAAACGGCTGTGCGCCCAACTTCTCCGGCTTCTCCGTCCAAGAACCGGAGCAGTTTTGGGGCGAAAACGAGGCCGAGACTATCACAACACGAATTATGTGAACTGCCATGCAAAAGACTTTGGAAAGTACTTAGAGGCCAATTGCAGTTACCACTTTGTTGCCGCTTGTTGGGAACACGAGACTTTGCCTCCCCAACATGCACAGAAAAACTCGAAAATTTGTGGATATTTTTTGGGCATGCAAAATGTGGGTCAAAGGACTCAAAGGAGTCTCGCTTAAATTGGAAGGGCTTTTATCCTTTCCGGAATTACATACTTATGTCAGGGGGGATTGTATAATATAAGAATTAAACAAAACTCATATTCAATTTTTGTATATTGGATTAAGCGTCTTTACGTCAGGTTTGTTTTTCAAAAATATATATAAATATTTAGTAAACCGTATTAAATCTTTAATAAGAATGTTCTTTATGCTGCAATTTTAAAAGACATCCTCCTCCATCCCATAATGTAATTTTCAACATCTTTAATGCGGAAAAAGGTACATTCCTTTGGCTTTTGGCAGGAGCACCCAAAATAGCATTCCGGCCCGTTTTTTGTGGGCCAACCAACATGTGCCTTTGGCATTAGCCTATTACATGTGCTTACAACATTAGCGTTATGCTATCTGCAGTCAATGCCACTTTGAATAGCCATTATCCTAATTGTTTGTTATGGATTTCGATCGGATACTGCGCTGGCATAATGTCTGCGTTTTACGATCTAATCTTTTAGGGCGTGAACATGCACATTAATAACCCGTAATAAAAACGCCGTAAATGAGCCGAGGGACAGGTGTTGATAACCGAGTGGCCCGCACAGTGGTGCCACGGGTGTGAAGTGCCTGGGGAGTCCTTGGGACTCCTTTATTACACCAACGTCCTGCAGCTCACTTATATATTGACAATTAGGAGAGGCATGCAATTTGAACAATTTGCGGCAGGGCGACTTGATTGGCATGTTGTGAGCTCGCACTGCTCGGTGGATGCCTCCTCCTCCTCCTCCGTCTCCTTTGCTGCCAGTTCCTCCTTCAGGTTGTCATGACGAGGAGCTCCTCCAGCTGGTCAACTCGATTTGATTGCAATTTAGCCACCCACGCCAGCTGGCTCTGATACACAATGGGTAAATGGGAGGGAAAACAGGACAATTAGCTATGTATTCACCGGATCTGATAAACAGTAGATATGAGAAGGACAAGTTTTAGATCGAAATAAATAGGCAACTAAAGGAAAAGCTTGAAATGTCTGGATTTGTGGGTGGTTTATTTTAAATATACATATATGACAAATATATTACAAAATGTTCAAAATAAGTGGTCTTTTGCCTTGAATTTGAGATTTTTAAAACTCGTTCGTTTGCATTTAATTTTTTATTAATGTAATTCAACTACCAGCAATTTATGTATTTATTCACAATTCCTGGTCACTTCAACTTATTTTATTTTATATTATTTTCTCTGTGTAATCTGAGAGGGGAATTTCACAGATATTGGAATTCCAATATCGCCGGTTGTCAGGAAAACCACGCAGCTAAAAAAAATAATGCAATGCATCCTTTGGGGCATACTCTCCAGTAAACCTCGACGCTCTGCACGGTTCTGACCAGATCCCTCTCAGCTACAAGAAGTCTTTGAAGCCGAGTCGGATCAAACCAAGCATAACTACTGGCGGATCAGCGCTCCCTCATCCCGAAAACCAGACCCACCCTTCTGCAGACTGAACTTGCCTCCCGGAGGCAAGAACTGCCAGTAGCCGTTGATTAAGTTTTAAAGCAATAAATTCCGCCTGCCAACGGGATTCAGGATTCAGGACTGAGGATTCCCCGTTGGGGAAGGGGTCAGAGGTTCAACAGCTGTTGTTTTGCTAAGCTCCTGCTCAGCCGCATTCTCGCGTCCTCCGTTAGCTGCCATTGCACTTTATCCTGGCCAAAGGACATGCCTTGGATTTCTGCAGCGCTGGCACAATAAACAGACAGCACAGCGGCAATGACAAAACAGCAAGGCAACAAGGCTGGGTTCAGCCTTATTGCAAAGTTCGCACATTTAGTACCCTTTTATTGGCTTCAAGTTGCGGATCAAATTGTTTATATTTTTATTTAAGTATTTATCCTAGACTGCAAGTGAAAATACCATTATTTAGTATAATTGAATGCTTCTTCTTAAATATTTATTTTTTTGGAAGGACTAAAGGACTAAGGACTAAATCTTAGCTGTAGCGATATCCTTAAAAGCTTACCCTGTAATTTTAGGTCAACCGATTTGAATAACCTTGTGGCAAGGGTATTTTGCAGCTAGTGGCGACCATGCCAAGCCCCATGTCCTGTCAGCCATTGCAGCAAGCAATCAGCTTGGGTCTTGTCCTTCTCCCAATGACCGGTTCCACTTGCCACTCCCCCAAGCTGTCCCCCCGTTCTCCGCTGCGGTTTGACCCCTAACCCGGCCTGCATTCTAATAAAATGTTGCCAGCAGCGAACAGCAACGAGCTCGCGCAACTGTGAAAGCTGCCGGCGATGGCAACAACCCGATATTGTTTTGGCCAAAATAGTTTTAATTGTTGCCGCTCCCCAGCAGCAGAAGCACAGCAGCGCGATCCCAGTGACCTCCACTTCGCTCCAGAGCCATCGCCACAGTCGCTCCTTTGGCACTTTGGCGCACAGTCAAATTACAATGGATATTTTTCAGTTTTCATAAATCTGTTTGTCGCCCCACTTCAATGGCCATCAACAAGCGGCCACCCAGCTGGCAGCTCTCCATGCTCCCACTCCACCATTTCCCACTCCCACAGCCTTTGCCATTTTCCATTTTCCACTTCCCAGGTCCTACCCACACCCATCATCCCTCGATGCCAGTCCCAGCGCATGGTGTTGAATTTTTAAATGAAAATTGTTGCTATTGAAAGTTTTTAATTTGTGTGCGTGCGTTTTAATTTTATTTCGCCCTGCTGATATATTCATTCAGATTCAGAGTCCTCTGGCTTTGGCAAGCTTTTTGGAAGCCTTGAAAAATATTGTTATACGTTTTATGGAGCTGAAACGATCAAAGCCCGTATTCATATAAATTTTCATTTCAATATTATGAAATATATTCATATATATAATATATATACTATAAGATAGATGAATTTTCTTGCTAAAACAAGTCTCATATATAATAAATGCTTTTAGTCAAGTTTTTAGTCCTTTTAAGTAAATTCCTGTATGAATATTGTATATCTGATGTTTAAAAATAGTTGAGAACATATTTTAAATGCAAAGGTCATTTGTCCCATTTTATGTGACACTTTAATTAATGTTTTATGGCTTCGACCGAGGGGGTCACGTAACTTTGAGCAAGGACTCTTGTAAATTGATTGCAATCTGTGGGGATATGTATTTAAAAATACGATCTGTAAAGCTTTGAATGGCGAGTACTTTGTACTTCTAATTGCAGCCTAGGGTGTGTAATGTTTCGTTTGACAAAAGGCGCCACTTGCCCCTGCCGCTGTTAAGTTGTCCCCCGACTCGTCTTTCCCACTCCTAGTGCCTCTCCCACTCCTACTACCCCGCCCGAGCAGGTCGCATTTTGCGTGATTTTCGCCTGCAAAAACGGCACCTTTGGGAAATTAATATCCTTTTTGGTCGGGGCACGCGGCGACTCTTCCGCAGCAGCAGAGGCAGCAACAGGAAAAACAGGAGCAGCAGCACGCTGGCAGCGCGAGCAGGATCACGTGGCTGGGGCGCGTGAGCAGCGCTGGAACCTTTTGCGGCCACGTTGCACGTACCCAAGCCACGCCCCCGCTTCCGCTCCACCGCCCCCGGGCGGGGCTTTGTTTTAGTTGGCGTTGCCTCTGTTGCTGCCGTTGACAACTTTTGTTTCCCGCTGCCTGCCGGTGGCCTTTGGACCGCACTCATAACTGCTGAACCGCTGTGCAGCCAGCACAGCCAGTGTCCTTGCGTTATCCCCATCAGATTGCGTGTCCTGTGACCACGCCTCCCCCTCTCTTTTGCGTAACGACCCGTTCTTTATTACTCTTTTTGCGCAATTACTCGTTACATTATTGCGTTTCCTATGCTGCTGGTGATATGCACGCAGTGCTGCAATATGTCCTTCTTTTGGGGTTCAAATAATCAAAACATCTTTGAGAAATATCTCAACTATTTGAAAAGACAGATAAAAATATATATAATTGTTTAATTTGTATGGAGATAAATCTTTTAAATATATTTTTGATTATATTTTGTAGCTCTTGACCACTGTCACGCATA